TCTGAAATAACCAATGAAAGCTGTGTCACTGGACACTTAAGACCATATTTGTTTTGCACAGTATTTAGTTGACATAAGATGTTATTAAAGATAGGATATTTAAAGAATAGTGTGTATTATGTAACAAGTAAACAACTGGATATTTTAGATAAACCCTTTTCTGATGTTTCTGTCTAAAATCATTTTAGCAGTTCAATCTTGGCCTTCTGTCAACCCTGTGAACTGTTATGCAACCTCACACATTGACTAAGACTTAGATAATCACACTCACCGGGAATTGGGTAACCAAACACTGAGAACTGTGTGCCTTAAAAGTGCAAACTTGCTAAAATCATAGGAATGTCAATAGCATCAAACTTGGCTCAATAACCACAGAGAGTATTAAACCTTTTCAGGAATTTTATATAGAAGCTTAACAGAGCTACAGCAAAGCAACAAGCAATAAAATATAAACCTTAAAATCATCAATAATTGTCTTGATTTGCTTACAATCTAAATAAACCAACAACAACAATTTCTAAACATAAAATAAAATGATCATACTGATTAAAGTTAGGCAGCACGGTGGCGCAGTGGTTAGCGCCGTTGCCTCACAGCGAGAAGGGTTCGGGCCCCACCTGGGACCCTTTCTGTGTGGAGTGTGCATGTTCTGCCCGGGTTCTCTCCGGGTACTCCGGCTTCCTCCCAAAGACATGCAGCTTAGGTTGATTGGTGTCTCTAAATTGCCCATAGGAGTGCATGTGCGTGTGTGTGGTTGTTCGTCTATGTGTTAGCCCTGCGATGGATTGGCAACCTGTCCAGGGTGTACCCCGCCTTCGCCCGATTGCCGGCCGGAATTGGCTCCGGACCTCGTTCAGGGACTAAACGGTAGAAAATGAATGAATGATTAAAATTATTAGGGTTGAGCTATGCTCTTGATCTGAACAACAAAGATTTTTCTCACGCAATCTGGCTCTCAGCTGGCTCTGGGTAGGGCGGTGGCAGATTGGGCCATCGTTTGTTCCTCTTTTTCCTTTTTGCCATGATTCAAGCTTTCACAAGGGGAAAAGAATTTATAAACAAAAATGCCTCCCGTAGTCCTCGGTCTCCTGGAAGTCAGATAGTCAACCGGACAGAGCCTCCGGCCACAGCTGTGAAAGGACTCCCCGTTCCTCTTTTTGCCTGGGTTTTTATAGGGTTCTGGTCAGTAGTCTTTGTCCTCTCATCCAACCAGATGCCGCAATTTGCAGTTAATACCTTATTTGGCGCGCAAAATCATATTGTTCTGAAGTATTGCGTATTTTTTACTGTCAGCCCAAGCCTACTTCCTGTAACCGGCCTCTGCCCCACTGTGATCCAGCCTTGGATTCTACTTCTTCTTTTCCAGAAAACTAAACCATCTCAATACGTAACAAAAATACAAGAAACTCACATCTGACTGAAATATCAAAATTCCATCATTGCTTTTAACAAAACAATCAGAATTACACACTGATTTCACACAAAACTATCAATGCCTTAAAATCAAAACATAATTTTTTATATTTTGAATACTTTACTCAATTCTACTTTACTCGATTGCCTCGGCCAGGAGAAAAAGAATTTGAAACTACTTGGACCCCTGGCTCAATGACACTACTCGTGCCTATCGGAGACGGTGCAGACAGGCAGAGCGCAAATGGAGGAAGGACAGTTTACAAGTCTCTCTAGGCATTTCGCGAGACAGCCGTCACACTTATCAGAGAGCTGTGAATGGTGCTAATATTTATCTAATGTCATTTTGGAAAATAGGCATCAGAGAGTGTTGTTTAAGACCATTAATGCTGTTATTAATCCCTCTAGTGCTGTACCTGTTGAAGCCTCGAATACTATTTGCAACAACTTCTTAATGTACTTCAGTGAGAAAATTTGGGCCATTAGACAGAGCACCCCGTTTTCTTTACCTTATACTCTACCTGTGGCCCTTTCTTCCCATACTTTCACCTCGTTTGCCCAGGTGTCCATTGCCGAACCTAAAAAATGTGTGCTCCAGCTTAAACTCGCTTCTTCCCCTCTAGACTCCCTCTCTGGGAAGATTTTTAAAGAAGTCATTGACACTATTGCTCCTCTGGTGGTTATCTTCATTAACTCCTGCCTGAGCTCGGGCTTAGTTCCTGCACCCTTTAAGCATGCGGTAATTAGACCATTGCTTAAAAAGCCCAATCTCGATTCAACCGTATTAGGAAATTTTCATCCAATATCTTTTCTGCCTTTTCTCTCTAAAGTTATTGAGAAGCTGGTGCTTATCCAGCTCCAAGCGCACCTTGATTGGTTAGAAATCATTGACAAATTTCAATCAGGGCTGAGTCTGCCTTACTCAAGGTACACAATGATATTGCATTAGCCCTTGATGCTGGACGCCCGGTCATTCTAGCTTTGCTGGACCTATCGGCCCCTTTGACACAGTAGACCACTCTATTCTACTTTCAAAGCTCGAGCACCTCTTTGGCCTGGGAGGTGAGGTTTTAAGTTGGTTTAAGTCGTATCTTACCAACAAATCCTATTTGGTCATCATAGGCGACTATTCTTCCAACACAGCTCCTCTGACCTCAGGCGTCCCACAAGGCTCCATTCTGGCTCCTCTGCCTTTTTCCTTATATTTGTCTCCATTTGCCGTTATCATATCTAGGCATAACACTTCTTTCAATTTTTACGCTGATGATATTCAAATTTACATGCCTTTGGTACAACCTGAATCAGACTCGTTTGCTTCACTCCAGAACTGTGTGCACAAGGTTAAGATTTGGTTAGCTCAAAATCTCCTCTATTTAAATGAAGAGA